GAGAAAATTGATTTCACCTTCTCCAAGACAGATCTATTTATTTTCTTTCAGCCTATTGTTTAAGATGCTTCTCCAGCACCACAGTTCAAAGGCATTAATTCTTCTTTTGTCATCCTTAGTCATTGTTTAGCTCTCTGATGAATAGCAAGTAATTGCAAAGACCATGGCCTGGTTTAGGTACACCTTAGTCTCTAGAATGACATCATTGTTTTATAACACTCAGGAGAGGTCCCTGACACAGTGACACTTATTATTATTTTTTTAATTATTACTATTGTTGTTGTTGATTGTCTTCGAGTATGACACATAGCAACACTATGAACAAAAGGCCTGAAGCCCCTCTACAGCTATCGACATTTTTTATTAGTATTATTATTTTTACCATTACTATTATTATTAAGCTCTGGTAGGCTAGTTATGAGCTAGTTGCTCAGGGAACCCAAAAACTGCTTTTCTCCTTCAGTTACAATTCAGAAATGCTTCCCAAAAAGAAAGAATATATATCTTCCTGCTGTGATTTATAGATTCATAAACACAAAAGAGGGTCTTTATTGCTCAGAACTGACAGGTGTGAGATCTATTACTATTATTATTACTTTCAGCCCCTTAACAACAACAAGCAACCACATATAGGATTTTAAGAATATTTTAAAGAAAACTTTGATGATACCTGTTGAATGGAGGACTATCAGATATGATAAAAATAAAACAAAAGTATGGTTGATTTGAAATGATAAAGGTTTTCTCTAAAAGTAACTAAGTCAGAAAATAATGAGTTTTACAAGTCTGGCGTGTGAGGTATAATTTGTGATGACCTGAAATCAAAGTCCTAACACCGCCTTCCTCATTACAGAAGCATGGAGGGTCTCTTCACACTTTTCATTTCATAGGCGTGAGTTTAGGTGCTCATATCAGTGGATTTGTTGGGAAGATATTTCGAGGTCAACTTGGACGAATAACAGGTAAAATATCTTTTTTCACATAATTGATGTTTTAGCACACTTTTAACCATCTGATATAAATCTAATTAAAGCCTAACAGGTACAATAATTAAGTAGTACAAATTATGCTCATTTATTTATATATTTCTGTATTACAGTCATGTGTTATTCTTTTTTTTTTATTATTAGATTGTGTGAAGTATTTGTACAATTTGTAATTTTTAACAGAGTTTAAGTTACCCATATTTAAATGGAAAAGACCTTTTTTCAACCGGAATATTAAGAACATTTGTTATTATAATAATAGATCAAATAAGTCCATTAAATAAGAAACTCTTCCATGTATTTAAGTGTATTTATTATATTATATTACTCACATTACTTAATTACATATGAATTACTCACATTACATAATATTTAACAAATCCATGTTATGTGAGTACATATATATTAACTAATTATGTTACTAATTATATAAATTAATACCATTTTTAAAACTTTATTATATGCAAATTATATAAGCTGTTTTACTTGAATTCTGGGAGGCAGATATCTGAGATTTGAGAAGTCCTGGTACCCAGCTATTTTCTTATGTATCAATCACTGTAACTAGAAAACTCCATACCCAAAAATACTGACATAGGTTTTCTGGGTTCCTTCTCATAGTGGTGATAATTTTGAGATTAGATAGATAACATTACTCCGCAACTAGTTAGCTTTTAGAAAATGAATGTTACTGTTGTTGCTGTTGCCGATTGCCATCTAATCGAGAATGACTCATAGCAACCCTATGAACAAAAGGCCTTAAGCCTCTCTATAATTATTGTCATTTATGAAAGTTCATAGAGTTTCCAGAGGCATATTGTCTAGGAAGTGGATGCAACTCCTGCTTCCATGCTCTGGTGGCCTAGTGGCAAGAAGCAGTGCTGTTGTACCAAAGATACATGGTTCAAATCCCACCAGCTGCTCCACTGGAGAAAGATGTGCTATCTCCTCTCATGCAATTAACTGCATCTGAAAATCCACCTTAGGGTCAGGGTCAGCTATGGGTCAATTCCAAGTCAGCAGTACACAACATCTCTAAAATTTATGATAACAACAAGTATATTATCCAGGAAGACAGCAAAAGGTTATTATAAAGATAAAGGAGAAGTAAAATAAAAATGAATGTCAGGAGAAACTCTGAAAAATATACTTAAGAAGCCAAAACATAGGGAAGAGATGCTGGAGTAAAAAAGATGAGCAAAACAAACAAACAAAAGATTACAAAGGGCATCTAGAGAAGATAAAGCAAAGGATTATAGTGGAATTTGGGAAGAGTTAGAATTGGACAGTTCAAAGGGAAAACTCACTCTGCATTTCTTAAGTTGCAAGAACTTAAAAATAAAATATTTAGTTTTGATATTGAAAGAGTTTATGGGAAAAATTTTAAGTGATCAAGGAGGCATCAAGTTAAGATGGAATACACAAAACCACTGTACATGAAAGAATTGGTTGACATTAAGATATATCGGGAAGTAACATACGATCGAGAGCCAATCATGACTAGGTAAGAATTTCAAGGTTCTTTGAAGGCACTGGCAAACAATAAGGCTTCAGGAATCAGTGGGATACCAAATGCAGCCCTGGACATGCTTGCCAGTCTGTGCCAAGAATTCTGGAAGATAGCTATATTTCCAACTGACTAGAAGAGTTTTATATTGTTCTCATTCCCAAGAAAATTGACCCACCAGAATGTGGAAGCTATCAAATAATATCATTAATATCATATACAGGCAAAATATTGCTGAAGATTATCTAAAAACAGCTACAACAGTATATTGACAGAATTACCAAAAGTTCAGTCTGGGTTTAGAAGAAGCCATGGCACCAGGGATATCATTGCTAATGTCAGATGGATCCTGGATGAAAGTAGAGTAAATAACAGAAGAATGTCCATTTGTGTTTTATTGTCTGTTCAAAGGTATTTGACTGTGGTCTTAACAAACTATTGATAATATTAAGATTGAGAATTCTAGAACTTCATTATGCTTATATGAAACCTATACCTAAACTAGGAAACTGTTGTCCAAACAAAACAAGGGAACGTTGTATGGTTTAAATCAGGAAAGCTATGTCACAGCTGCATGCTTTCTCCTTACCTTCTTGATCTGTATGCTGAACAATTCATTAGAGAAAATTAACTTTATGAAGAAGAACGTGGCATGAGGATTGGAGGAATATTTATTAAACAACCTGTGTTAGAAGATAACACAATTTTGTTTGCTGAAAGCAAGGTGAACCTGAAGATACTACTACTGAAAATCAAGGACTACAACCTTCACCGTGGTTGCATCTCAGTATCAAGAAAACAAAAATCGGCGAGCTCTGGTGGCCTAGTGGCAAGAAGCTGCAACTGCAAGTTCAGAGGTGCACAGTTCAAATCCACCAGATGCTCTGCTCGAGAAGGAGGAACAATGTCCTCCTGTACCAGTCAGATCTGATTTGACGGTACACACAAAAAATAATGGAAAAAAAAACCACACAAAAATCCTCATCACTAGGCCAATAGGATGGAACAAAGATTTGAAATTGTTTAATGATTTCATCTTGCTTGGATCAAAAATCAACACCCTTGGTTCCAGCAGTCAGGAGATTTGGAGACATATAGAATTGGGAAAGTTTGCTGTTAGAGACCTCTCCAAATTCTTGAAGAGCAATGATGTCAGAATAAAGACTAAGGTGTTCCTGATTCAAGCCTTAGTTTCCCAGTCACCTACTATGCATCTGAGAGGTGGATAATAAATAATGAGGACAGGAGAAGAATCAATGCTTTTGAGCTGTAGCATTGGAGAAGAGTGTGGAATAGTCCATGGACTGCCAAAATAATAAACAGATATGTCTTGGAGAAAGTATAACTAGATGCTCCTTAGAGGCAAGAATGGCAAAGCTTCATCTCACCTACTTTGGGTATATTATTAAGAGAGGATATTCCTTGGAGAGAGACATATTTGAAACAGGGAAAGGTCAGAAAAAGAGAGGAAGACCCTTAATGAGACAGATTGATTCTGTCAAAATGAGCCCTAGTATGTCAAGGATGATGAAGATGATCTAAGATAGGATAGACAGCAGGCCTGTTTGTCATAGGGTTGTTTCAAGTCATACTCAGCTTGACAATACTTAATAACACCAATGATAATAACAACGACATACCTGTATCTTATAATAATTTTAAGTGATAATAAAGGATAATAGAGTTTTTGGCTAAATTAAATGGAACATAGATGGAGAGAAATATGTTGTAATGATTGTTAAGGCTTCAAAACTGAAATTAGACGACTATGAATATTAAATAGAAGTTTTATGAAACACTTAACAAAGTAGCTGACACAAAATAATGGTGCTAATGAGTCAGTCTAAATTACAGTGACCCTCTATTGGGTGCCCAAGGTTGGAAATCTTTATAGTAGGAAGCCCATCTTTTTTCTAGTGAGAGATTAATAGATTAGGATTACTGGTTTTTAGGTTAGCTGCCTCCAATAATGTGCAATATACCATTCAGGCTTCTTAGGTAACAAATATATAATGATTATTGTTATTAATAAAAGCCTTGGAGGTACGTTGCATTTGTTGTTGTTGTTATGTGCCGTCGAGTTGCCTGTGACTCATAGTGACCCTATGTACAACAGCCTAAACTCTGCCCTATCCTGTGCCAATCTCACCTTCTCCAACACACCTGCCCCCATTATTACCCCAGTCACTGAATCAATCCATCTCATAGATGGTTTTCCTCTCCTGTGCCTCTAATTAAACCCACCAGTGGCTCCCCAGGAGAAAAATGGATGGTTTGCTCCCATTCTTACAAACTCGGAAATTGGATGAAGAATCACTGCATTTGAAACAACTTGATGTCAGGAGTTATGTTATTTATTAATATGAGGATAGCTCTGGTGGTACAGAGCTACTTGAAAAGTCATTAGTCATTAGTTCCAACCCACCACAGCAGAAAGATGTAATAGTCAGCTCATGTAAATACTATAACCCTGGGAACCCTAAAAGGCAGTTCTGATATGTCCTGTAGGGTTGGTATGAATGAAGATAGGTTACTTTTGTTAGAAGCCTTTGTGGTACAGTGACATAGCTACAGATAGGTGTCACTTAATGTGATTTTTTTAACACAAATTGTCTTATTTTTGATCATTACTGTTTATTGCACCAATTCGAATTATAGTCATTTTAACTAGATCTTTCTTGCACACTATCATTGAAAGCATTACACTTCATGATAGATCATGAACTGTTCTTTTTGATGATGAGTGTGTCACAGTTCTTTTCTTGCTCATTGCTGACATAGTAGATCATTTGATTGATTCGGAATAAAAATATGAGTCAATTTTAACTCACAGATATGTATAATATCAATCTTGGTATATTTCATTTAATGTAAGTTCCACTTTTCTGAGATTTATATTTCTACATTTCATGCTAAGCTTATTATTGAATGTGTGCAGTTGTTTTTTTCCTCATTCTGAAATATGCTACATTAGCACATAGAGGGTTTTCATTGATTGAGGGCTTTATTGCATCCATTTATTAGGGTATATTGTGTTTTGAGGATACAGCTCTTTTCTGGTTCTATTTTGAGATCTTTCAACCTGAGGACCTCATCTTCTAGCACAATACCAGATGAGGGTCTGTTGTTATTTATAGTGTTTTCAAGGACCCATTATTTCATAAGTTGAGGGCCAAAACTTCCTTCTAGTTTGTCTTCTTCTGGAAGCTCTATTGAAATCTGTTCACCTTGAGTATTTTAAATATTGATTGCTGGTATTTGAAATACTGATACCATAGCTTCAAGATCACACATGCAAGTCACTACAACATGAAAAACTGATGGACAAGTAGTGGCCAAATGGGGAAGTAGTTATATATTATCCATTGTTTTGTAGAGAAGGAGCTCTTAGTGATAACCAAAAAGTCAGCACTTCTTTAAATCCGCCAAACATTTCCTGGAAGAAAGATGGACAATCCACTCACATATAAGTTTACATCTTTGTAAGCCCATTTCAGGGTTTCTATGAGTTATTATTGGCTTTATAGCAATGGATATTTTCTAGACTCTAGTGGACTTCTTGGAGAGGGACATCATGCTTGGAAGGGTGGAGGGACGGCGCAGGAGGGGAAGGCCCTCTAGGAGGTGGATTGATTCAGTGACTGGGGTAATCGGGATGGGTGTGTCGGAAGCAATGCGATTGGCACAGGACAGAGCAGAGTTTAGGGCTGTTGTATATAGGGTCGCTATGAATCTCAGGCAACTCGACGGCACCTAACAACAACAACAATGGAGTTTAATATGAAAACTCTTAGATTTAGTAATTATCAGTCAAATTCTGACTATACTTGCTATTCATTCAATGCCATTTGCATTATATATATATATATTTTGAGAGGTGTTAAGTATAGACTGTTTTGTTTATAATGTAGATTTATTGTATTCATTATATAATAATAATAATGCAGATCTATTGAGAACTTAACTAATAGTTTGTTTCTTATTTTTTAGAGTATAATGCAAATTATATTTTTATTTCTATAATTAATATATATTTTGTTTTAAATAATTAACTACAATTATCAATACCTTCTTACAACTTCTAATCAAACCTTCTGATCTTACCTCCCCTTCTTTCATTCTTGCATTTCAGGTCTAGACCCCGCCGGACCTAAATTCTCTGGCAAACCATCCTATGGTAGATTGCATTACACTGATGCAGAGTTTGTGGATGTCATCCATTCTGATTACGATGGTAATTATGAAAAATATTTTGTCTATTATTTTTAAAAGTAAAAAGAAACATAACCCTAATGGATAAGGAGAATAAAAAGTAAATAGAGTTAATGATGAAGAGATGATACATTCTGTGGTAAATGGCAGTATTTACCGTTAATTAACCTCCTTCAGGTTTAAGAAAGATATCATCCTCAGAGTGTGAACTTTGATTAAAAAAAGTGTTCTTTATGCCTTTAGTAGTTATTATTTCTTGAAATTTAATAATATTTACATCCAAATTAACTTTTTCTCAGGTATAATAGAGTATTATTCTCCCTACTCAATGTTTTTTATCTCTCAGTGCATATTAAGTTATCACCTTACACAGTATTTCAGGTCCCGGTAAATAATATCTTTCCTTAAATATGAAAAATCAGTTTCTTTGTAGTTATTCATAATCTTTCTGAAAACATTTTACAAGATAATGGTACTTTTGGCAGCTGTACATTCGGTTATACTTTCAGGGAATAGTCAAGATAACCTTGATCACTTTCCTTATGTGAAGTTGACAATACTAATTTATATATGATACACTCTATACTTCAGGTGGTGTCTTATGTGAATACCTCACTCACTTCCTGCATTATCTCTCTTATATATGGGATAGAGGTCATGAGACCAGCAAATGGCAAAGTCAAAATCTAAACCGTTATCTTTCTTTATCTGTGTCTATGGCTATACTTCTTCTGGCAGTTCTCTGCTGATGTGCTGTTCCAGTCATTTTTGGATAATCTGCAGTAAAATCTTGCTTGCATGTGAAATCAATGAGATTGTTCTGTAGTTTCCACACTCAGTTGGGTCGCCCTTCTTTTTGATGAGAACAAATATAGACCTCTTCCAGTCAGTTGGCCAAGTGGTTGTTCTCCAGATTTCTTGGCACAACTTGGTGAGCACATCCAGGACAGCATCTGTTAGCTGAGATATGTCAATTGGTATACTGTCTATTCCCAGGGCCTTATTTTTTGCTATTTCCTTGAAAGCAGCTTGAACTTCTTCCTTTATCACCATAGACTCTTGCTCATATGTTGTTTCATGAAATTCTTCTGTGTCTGCCAATTCCTTTCAATACAGTGACTCTGTATACTCTTTCCATCTTCTTTTAATACTTCCTGAATCATTTCATATTCTTCCTAAAACATCCTTGATTATAGCAACTCGAGGTTTGAATTTTTTCTTCAATTCCTTGAGCTTAAGATATGCAGAGCGAGTTCGGCCCTTTTGATTTTCTGACTCCAACTCTTTGCACATTTCATTGTAATATTTTACTTTGTCATCCGTGCTGCCTTTTGAAATTTTCTATTCAACTCTTTGATATCTTGAGTTCTTCCTTGTGCTTTGACTTCTCTGTGCTCCAATGCAATTTTCAGTGTCTCTTCTGACATCCACTTTGGTCTTCTCTTCCTCTTCTATCTTTTCAATGACCGTTTGCACTCTTCCTGGATGATACGCTTGATATCCTCCCACAACTTGTCTGGTCTTCGCTCATTAGTTTTCAAGGCCTCAAACCCGTTCCTGAAATGGTTCTGAAAATCTGGGGGGATAGACTCAAAGTCATATATTGGTTCCCGTGGACTTGGTTTAATTTTCCTCAGCTTCAGCTTGAACTGCTATACGAATAGTTGGTGGTCTGTTCCACAATCAGCTCCTGGCCTAGTTTTCAAAGCTGATATTGAGCTTCTCCAGTGGTTCATTCTGCAGATGTAAAAAATCTGATTCCTGTGCATACCATCAGGTGAAATCCATGTATATAACCTGCGTTTATGTCTCTTAAGAAACGTATTTGCAATGAATTAGTCAGTAATGGTGCAAAATTTGATCATCCTCTCTCCAGCTCCATTTCTGTCACGGAGTCCATGTTTTCCAACTACTGATTCTTCTTCTCTGTTCCCAACTTTTGCATTCCAGTCATCCACTCTTATCAGTGCATCTTGATTGCATGTTCGATTGATCTCCGACTGTAAAAGTGGGTAAAAATCTTCTATTTCCTCTCCCTTGGCTCTGGTTGTTGGTGCATATATCTGAATGATAGTGGTATTCACTGGCCTTCCTTGTATGTGTATGGATATTACCCTGTCACTCACAATATTGTACTTCAAGATGGATCTAGCAATGGTTTTCTTAACTATGAAAGCAACTCCATTTTTCCTCACCTTTTCATCTTCTGAGTAATATATCATATGATCATCTGACTCAAAATGGCACATGCCAGTCCATCTCATCTCACCAATACCTAGTATGTCAATATTTATGCATGCCATTTCTTCCTTAATAATATCTAATTTTCCTACATTCATAATTCTCACATTCCATGTCCCGATCACTAGTGTCTTCTTACAACTGTTCCTCTTCCTTTGCATTTCCATACCTGAAACTCAACCTCAGTTGCACTTTCTATATCTACATGTGTTCTGATGTACATAGGGTTTTTGGGGGCCTGCTATTTCAGAAGTAGATGGCCAATCCTTCTTCCTAGTCTGTCTTAATCTGAATGTTCAGATTTAGAGAAGTATCAGACGGACCAGCATTTTATAGAAAAGTGAAAGATATATCCCTTATTGTGGAGTTAACCATTCATATCAGTGTTGTCCCTGCCCTTGGCACACGTGTCTTTACTCACTTATTTTCCTGCTCCCCCATCTGCCAGGATACCCATCCACTTCTACCCACTCCCTTCAACATCCATCACCCATTGTCCTGCCTTTGAACTGATATCTTATATCGGAAGCTTCCTCTGCTTCTGTGATTCCAAATACGTCGGCTTCTGACAATTTCTTATGCTGTGACCAGGCTGGGTTTAGAAGGGGTCATTGTACTTGGGATATTATAGCTAATGTTAGGTGGATCTTGGCTGAAAGTAGGTGATACCAGAGGAATGTCTATCTGTGTTTCATTGACTTTACAAGGCGTTTGACTGTGTGGATCATAACAAACTGTGGCTGAAGAAGAACAGGAATCCCAGAACACTTGATTGTGCTAATGAGAAACCTATACTTGGACCAAGAGGCAGTCATCAGAACAGAGCAAGGAAACACTGCATGGTTCAAAATTGGGAAGGGTGTACGCCAGGGATGCATCCTGTCTCCATACATCTTCAACCTGTGTGCATTACAGATTATTTGGGAGGCTGGGCTCTATGAGGAGGAATGTGGGGTCAAGATTGGTGGAAGACCTATCAACAATCTGCGATATGTATATGACACAACCCTGCTTGCGGAAAGTGAGGAGGATCTGAAGCGCTTGCTGCAAAGGGTGAAAGACTGCAGCCTTCAGTACGGATTGAGGCTCAATATCAAGAAGACAAAGATTCTCACCGCTGGGCCAATTGGCAGCATCAGGATGGATGGTGAAGAGATTGAGATTGTTCACATCTTTAGTTTGCTTGGCTCCACAGTCAACACTTTTTGCACCAGTAGACAGGAAATTAAAAGATATATTGCGATGGGAAAGTCTGCTGTTAGGAACCTCTCCAAAGTACTGAAGAGCAATGGTATCTCTCTGGAGAGTAAGGTGCATCTGATACAGCCCATGGTCTTTGCAATCACTTGTTATGAATCGGAGAGCTGGAAAATGACCAAGGAGGATACAAGGAGAATTGATGCTTTTGAGCTGTAGTGCTGGAGAAGAGTATTGAGGGTACCATGGACTGCGAGGAAAACAAACAGATTTGTCCTGGAAAGGGTTAAACCGGGCGGCTCCTTGGAGGCAAGGATTCCGAGGCTCCATCTAACATACTTTAGACATGTATGGAGGGACCGGTCCTTGGAGAAGGACATCATGCTTGGTAGGGTGGAGGGACAATGCAGGAGGGGAGGCCCTGTATGAGGTGGATTGATTCAATGACTGGAGCTACTGGGATGGGTATCTCGGAGACAGTGCAATTGGCACAGGACAGAGCAGATTTTAGGGCTGTTGTACATTGGATCTCTATGAGTCGCAAGCTACTCAATGGTACATAACATCAACAACATGTCTATACTTCACCAGTAGATTATTTTGAATAATTGGTGATGTAGGTATATTATGGTAGAGGGGATATAAAGGATATGGTGCTGAATTTGGAATAAAAGAAAAGCATGCAAAGTATCTATTTCTTTGTATCATATAAAATCCATTTTTCAAGGTCCAGGGAATTTATTTTCTCATAAATATCTTGAGTTTACCTAGTAGTAACCTTTTAGGAGATACAAACATCATAAATGACATACGTGGGAGTAACTCCAATGTGTGCATAACTATAGCCTAAATCTACAATAGGAACAATTCTGTCTTAACTTGAAGTCTAAATGCACCAGTTTTTATTATATTATGCTGTATCTTCATGCTTATTTTGTTTTATCATTAGTGTTATATCCACTCAAAACATCTCTATTGTTCATTTACTCTGAAATCCTTACCTGAGCTTTTCTATCTAAAGTCCCAAAATTTAGTTCAATTCATAGTCTTCAGTATAGACTTAACGCTTTTCTATTATTTTTGTTTCAATTTTTGGCTGTCTTTAATAAATTTTCTTGACTAGCCATCTATATTAGATATCAGAATTATCCTGTTAGTAGAAATTGTCAAAGATTTAATCTTGGATTCACAAACAACAACACCCTTGATGACAATAGTCATTGGATCAGGAGATATATTACATTGGGCACAGGAGATATATTACATTGGGCACATCTGCTGTAAGAGACCTCTCTAAATTTCTGAAAAGCAAAGATATTGGCTTGAAGACAAAAGTGTATCTGTCTTTAGCTATGATCTTTTTATTCAGCTTGTATGCACTTGAGAGCCAGACAATGAATATTGATGACAGAAGAAAAATTGATGCCTTTGAGTTATGGTGTTGGAAAAGCATGCTGCTTGGGGAAAGTGCCACAGATAATTCTTGGGGAAGGTGCAGCCAGAGTGCTCCTTCAGGTCAAGAACGGCAAAATTTTTCTTACATACCTTGGACATGTTGCTTGGAGAAGCTATTTCTTGGAAAGA